TCATGTTCTCCGCAGACCCGACGACACTTTTACGAATATTGTCTCGGCTCCGACATCATGTTCTGGCTGGTGCCGCCGAAAAGGGGGGCAATTTAAACCCTGGCTGGATACCGTATTCGAAGACGTCGACCAACTTGGCCTCCGGATGGAGTACGGCACTCGCAGATGGAAAACAAACTGGATCGATATTTGCAAATATCTCGCAGCCGACCGCCAAGCATGGATAGCGGCTATCAGAAACATTCATGAAGCCGGCTTATCCTTTCCAACGAGCCAGCCGTAGTAAAGTAAGTAAGTAATCAAATACAATGCAGAGAAGAGCAATGTGACGCAAGATGTGATGCAATATTATTTGAGGAAACTACAACGATCTTTTCTTGTGTACATATATATTCACTTTCATTTCCTTCAATAAACGACTTTGTGATTCGCATGTCTTGTGGCTTTTCTCCTTGCGTCTCGATCCTGCGGGTTTTTGCGAGTTCGAGCCATTGCGGTCCAGTGACATCGGTTCTCTAATTCGTCTTCCGTGGTTCCTATTGCGTAGTTCGTGTCCTGGATTCTGTGCGTAACTTCACTATTACTACCTTTACTGTCATTACTGTCAGATAGTGGAATCTATGTGTAAATATACATATATATACGATGTTTATATAAACAATTATCTATGTATGTTTGAAGCGGATGTTGTTAGGTGAATGGAGCGTGAAATTTACGAAATGTGGAACCAAGTTGGAATGACTGTGCTTTACAGGAAGGATTTTCACAGGTCGATCAATGCATTAACAGCAGCTCTAAACATAAGCAGTCGCTCCCTTAAACACACCTAACATCCGCTTAGCAGCCTGTCCGATACACTTACGTACAAAGAAGCTGGCGGTAGGCTGTGTAGCGCAGTCCATGAGCATCCATGGATGAGCCACAAATATCATAACTTAGAAATTTTGGCCACGGGATGAAAAGCGTGCTAATTCTGGGAGACTTAAATTCCTCCAAATTTGACTGGAATACCACATGGGCACCACCAAGTTGTTTAGGTCACATGCTAGTTAATTTTACTCGCAGATGCGCCCTAGTCCAACACAACCACCACACTCGTTATCGCATGTGGCAGTATCCTGGGTTATTGGACCTTGTGCCGAGTAAATATCCCAATGACGTGGCCGACTTGGAAACCTCCCCACCACTAAATTAGAGTGACCATGTAATACTGCATTTCTGTCAAAGGGAAGAAGGTCCAAATCCCTACACAAAATGGAGGAGAGCTGGAAATAATGTGGAACGGTTGTAGCTCTGGATGCGGATGGTGGTGGTGTGTTCTTCAAGCTGGAAGTGTTGTTCACGAACAACAACCCCAGCTCCGAGAACACACCACCAACAAAATAGAGGAGAGCTTTCCACAGAATAAACAGTAAATCCCTCGCTGAAAGAGCCGCTGAGCTACTCTGGGGGCGCAGCTCGACGGTTGCGCACCATCACGAAGTCCAACCTCTCAATGCTTACTTCTGAGTTTTCTCCGCTAAGGAGGATTCACCGAAACGGCAAACTCCCCTGGTGGTCCAACAGGGCAGTAAAGGCATAAGTCCGAAAGCGTCAAGTTTGGAGGCAGTTCATCAGGACCCGTAGTCACCAAAGGTATCTCCAGTACCTCAAGGAGAAAGATAGACCAGTGACCAGACGGCTTGCCGTAGGGCCTTCAAAACGAGACTGGCGCGTAGGATTAAAGAACTCCCGAGAAATTCTTCTACTACGTACAAGTTAACTCAAAGTTGCGTTTGGCGATAGGCGCTCTTAAGGACGAGAGCAACCTTCCAGTCCTATCCAGCTCGGGGAAGGCGGAAATCTTCAGATGCTTCTTCGAAGCAGTCCACGTTAGGGATAACGGGGCACCTGAAGGATAACAAACTCCGGGGGCCATCACATGCAAGCCAAGATAGTGAAGTACTTCCTCAGGAGGTTGAGGACCACCTGGGGCACCTAAATACGGGCAAATTGGCAAGGTCAGATGACATCCACTCAGCCATCCTGAAACTCCTAGCAACAGTCCTTGCCCACCCACTGCCCCGTCTGGTTAACTTATCCCTATGTCACGGCTAACTATCAGCGGACGGGAACATAGCAGAAGTGGTAC